AGACAACGAACCGTGCCGTCTGGGTTAAAAAGTCCCCGACACTGGGTTAGATTGACAATTGGTCTGACCCGGTCTTGCCGATTTTAACTTCTTATGATCTCACATCTTGGTCTGGGGAGCCCAGTGCTGGGGAATAAAAGGAGTGGAAAAGATTCGAACTCCGCAAGGGTTTAACAGACTCTTACCCTCTGGTGTGGCCCCAGCAGCTAAGTGGCGTATGCTCTGTCTACAGGCCCAACCCTGACACCCCTGAAGCAGCCACGACTCTCCTCTGCACTGTCTGGGAAATGGCTATAATTGCTGTCAGGGTTTGTCCGCACGGACTGGAACTTGTCCCGCTCTGCCAGGCTTTCTGCGCTCTCACCTCCCCACATTTACAGGGACAGGCAAGAACCGATATTAGAAAGGTGTTTGTAGGTGTCCGATTCACAAAAAAACAAACAAAAAACCCCCTAACAAACAAAATAAGTTGAGAAACCGTCAGCTCCCTGATTCCCCCTCACCTCCCCCGGCTCCTCCCCAGACATCCCTTTCTGATTTTCTGATATTGGTTTGAAAGTGCGGATTTCATAGTTTCACTGGGTGTGAAGCGCTCTGTTCTTGTCATGGCTGGGGCGCATCGAAAGGGGAATGAGGACCCCAGGGGAGCAGCCACCAGCCCTGCACTCTCTCCTCCTAATTCCCTCTGACACCTCCCTCCTGGGTGCTGCTTTTCTCGGCACGATCCCAATAAGCCCTGGACCCATACTAGCCCACTGCCCTCAGCGCCAACACTTGGTAGTTCCCTGCAATTAAGGGCTGCCGGTTGAGACCTTTATCTCCACGGTCACTAGATTAAACTGCTGGAACTATATTGCAGGCTGGATCTTTAGCTCTGCCCTCGGACAGCAGCAGAAATTCTGGACCGTGATTGTCACTTGTGAGGTGGGTTCCTTTATCCATGAGGCCCCTGTGAAAATGCCAACCCTGCCCCATGTTTCCAGGAGCAGCTGAACGGGGTTTCTTCAGGAACTGAGCAATCTCTGCACCTCAGGCCCATCGGGACTTGGCACAGCAGTGGGTGACAGAGACCATCAATTATAGGGTTTCAAACTGACGGCAGCTTTTATTCACCACTGGTGTTGGAGGGGAAAGTTCTCAGGGGATTGGCTGGTAAGTGCACAGACAGAGGGGGAAGCAGATTGTCTCTCCGGGTGCAGCCTGGGCAGAGAGAGACAGATTTAAACAGTGAGCTGGTGGTCCTATATGCATATCCACCATGTTATAGGAGACACAAATTCTGTTGTGATTTATTATTTCTCTTGAGACTCTAGGAGAAGGGGTCAGACTGTTCCTTATTGGGGGGGGGGGGGGTGCGGGGCCCTGCTCAGTGCGGTGGAATCCTGAGTGTGTTTTGGATAAAATAATAAAATAATGATAATAATTAACAATTCACAATAACAATAATTAATAATATAATAATAATTGATAATAAAAGATTCCCTGAAAGAGCACAATTCCAGAGACTCGACGTTAGGGCCTGTTTCTGTTCACATTACTTGGTGATGGAAGATTCTCAGATCCCGGCAGAGTTGTGCTGCATAATGGGTCAAATTATTTGTTTGCCTTCGATAAAATAAATAAATAAATATTTATAATATAGGGTGAATCTCAGCTCTGCAGCTCCGGCCCACGAGCAGCGGGGCTGTGAGGGGGACGGGCCGGCTCACGGGGTTCCATGGGGCTGGGACACCCGCTGGTGTGAGGAGAGAGCGTTGGGACTGAATCCCCGTCCCAGCAGTGCCCGGCTCCACTGAACTGTGCGGTGCCCAGAGGGGAATGTTCCCTGGCAGGTTTAGCCGTATGGAGAAGGGGCCAATTGCTCGTTGCTTCGCTCCCGGAGATCCCCCGTTAACTCCAACGGGAAGAGCCGTTTGTGTGAGGCGAACAGCGCTCTGCTCTGCGCTGGGGTGGGGGACGTATTCAGGACATTAAGGAGTTCATCCGCGATGTCAGAGTTTTCATCCTGCTGACACTTTTACCCCAGGGAGAAATGAAGTGATCTCCCATCCCTAAACACCATCTTATAGCCTTATAGAGAGTGTTTTGGGTGGTGCAGTGCAGGACACACCTTGTTCTTCATGGCCTTGGGATCAGAATGTTGGACACAAAAGTACTTGGCAGAGAATGGGGGCGATGCATGTGAGACTCTCCGGGTGCAAGAGGACATGCAGACACGCTTGTTTATAACAATGGAAGTCCTGACATCTAAAATTCAGGGACTGTCTAATTTAGGATGGGACTTTCACAGAAGGATTAAGGGAGCATTGGGCTCTATTGTTCAGTAGAAGCCACGTTCTGTGTCCTTCGCGCCTCCGGTCTCTCTCCGGCCCGGGGTCTTTTTCTCCCTCTGCATCAGCCTCTCGCTGAGCGAATCCAGTCAGGTGCTTGGGGCAGCGAATAGAAAGGGGCGGCAGTCCGGGTCTTCGGCAGCAATTCTGCGGTGGGTCCCTCAGTCCCTCTCTTCCTCTTTGAAGTGCTGCCGAAGAGGAAGAGAGGGATTGAAGGATAGAACCCGTCCTATCGTTTTCCTGTTGACAATCCTTAGTCACATGACTATCCCCATTGACCTGAGGGTCAGCGCTGGGCTGAGGGATGTCACCAAGGGCTGAGGGGCGGGGTCTTTTGTCTCCATGGTGACTCTGTGAAATGGCAGAAATTTATTGTGGGTCGGGATGTCTCAGCAACACCCACTGTTACCAGCTGAGATTCGGGGCTTTGATTTACTGATGTCAGTTGGGTGAAAAGAAACCCTGACTCCCTTTGGAAAGTCCCGGCGGTGGCACATTCCCAGGCTCAGCGGAGTGGGGTTTATTCAGGCGCTGGGTGATCTCTGTCCCACAGCCGTGCCCTGATTCTGAATGGTCCATTTGCATATCCCAGCCTCCATCTCTCTGTGCCTCAGTCTCCCCTCTCTGAACCAGGGGCTCGGACAGTTCCTGGGCTCCCAGCGGCATTGTGGGGATAAAGGCAATAAACGCTTGTGAAGGGCGGAGATGCCCCGGTGAGGGGCCCCACATCGGTTATAATGAACTAGTCACCTTCCGCTGCATTAATGCGATAAACGTTCCAGTTTGCTGAAAGGGCCAGAGCCTCCCTGGTGTAAATCTGGAGTAACTTGTGTCTTGCGGAAGCAGTTGCAGTGACTTTACACTAGCAGAGGATTTGGCCCCAGGAGCAATTCGCTCCATCCGCTGGGTCTGATGCAAACCCCAATGCGCTTGTCCCCTTTACACTGACAGACGCTGTCCTGTGAGTCTGACACAGAGACGGGCCCGGGACAGCCAACGTGTCAGGTCTGCGAGGGGAGAGCGACTCAGAACAGGACTCACTCCGGATTGGGGTTCACAGATGAAGCGAGGGATCTCTGCACCGCAGGCCCAGTGGGGCTCTGGGCAGGAAGGGGACACACATTTCCAGGGAACGGAAGGGTTAAAACTGAGGGGAGGTTTGTGTTACATTCACCCGGTTGCCCGGTCTCCTGTCTGAGCCCGGAGCAGTGTGTGTGTCACTGCTGCCCCCGCGTGGCTGCCGGGAGAAGCGCGATTCCGCAGCCTGGGTTTTTGTATGATCACAAACCGGTTTCGTTTCACTGTGTCTTGCACAGTAATAGCGGGCGGTGTCCTCGGGCTTCAGGCCGGTCATTTGCAGGTACAGCTCACTCTTGGGATTATCCCTGGAGATGGTGAATCGGCCTTTCACTGAATCAAGGTAGTATGTACTACTCCCACCGGTGTATATAGTAGCGACCCATTCTAGTCCCTTCCCAGGAGCCTGTCGGACCCAGCTCATAGCGGAGCTGCTGAAGGTGAACCCGGAGGCTTTGCAGGAGAGGCGGAGAGAGTCTCCGGGCTTTTTCACATCCCCTCCGGACTCCACCAGCGCCTGGGACCGGACACCTGGGGATAAAGACAGGCCATTAATATCGGTATAAAAACAGCGGTAACACAATATCCTTCTAACTCTGCCAATATTCAGAGGAGGAAAATACCTTCCAAAGCTGCTACAGCAAAAATCACAAGGAGCAAAAACCCCATTTTCCCGGGTGCTGGAGGGGAAAGTTCTCAGGGGACTGGCTGGTCACTGCACAGACCCAGGGACTGCAGATTGTGTCTCCGGGTGCAGCCTGGGCAGGGAGAGGCACAGATTTAAACAGGAAACTGTCTCCCTCATTTGCATGCCCCCGCATTATAAGAGACACACACTCCTGCTGAACAGTGATCTGACTGACTCGCCCTAGGGCTCTGGGTGCGGGAGTCAGACTGTCCCGGCCTGTGTGTCTGTGCAGCGCTGGGCACAGGACGCTGGGTCCTCCTGACACTTTTGGACCCCTGGGAGGAATGACCAGCTCCCTGCAGTGACTGTATTTCCTCACCCAGGAACTGAAGGCCTGGCTAGTGTGAGGTGATATTGGGGATTGGGGGGACTCAGCTCTGGATCCCCGTTCCACGCGAACAAGGGCCATGAAACGTCTGGTCAGGGGGGTCAGTGTCTGGGGAGGGGTCGTGTCCCAGGGATCCATTGGGCTGGGCCACCCGCCGGAGAGGGAAGATTTCCCAGGGCGCTGGGAGGGATTTGGGAGGGAAGCCCCTTTCCCTTCCCAGCAGTGACCGGCTACATTGAAATGATCCATGACACTAGGAACGTGATCTGAGCAAGCCTGGCTCGTGCTTTGCACCAGGTCTGGGGCCCACCTGTGGGTGCAGGTGGGAGAAGCTGGGGTCAGGGTGGGGGAGTCTGAGAACAGAGTTAAGGTTTTGCAGTGGAGCCGCCCTGAGTTTTGTGGGCTGAGAGCGGCGTGTCTGGGAGTTTTTCTTTAGGGGAGAGTCGAGGGAGGATTCATGCAACAGCGAAGGGAGATTATTCTGCACGGCTGCTATTTATATTGGTGTTTATATTCCTGTTCCCAGTCACACTCCACTTCCCATTTACACTCGGATTGTAAACTCGGTGGGACTGAGAGAGGTTTATGGTCTGTGTTTGTACCGTGCCTAGGACTGTGGGAGCCTAGACTATCATTAAGAACATAAGAAGCAGGGCTGGCTCTAGGTTTTTTGCCACTCCAAGCAAAAAAATTTTTGGCTGCCCCCCGTCCCAGCCCTGGGCTCCTCGCCTCACCCCCCTGCCGCCTCAGCCCTGGGCTTTCACCCCCCCATCCGCACCCCTCTGCCGCCCCAGCTCTGGGCTTCCCCCTATCGCCCCACCATTGCCCCCCCAGCCCTCCTGCCG